TGTGTTTCTCAATCGTGTTTTTTTTTTTGGGTTCTTTTTACACCTTGTATAGGGGTAAGTGACTAAGTGGATTTCAATTGGGTTGAGTTTTGTACATATTCATATGGTCGAAAGACATATAATTTCAAGCAAAAATCGAGGTTAGAAATCATGAGTTCAAATCTTATGATAACCACCTACTTAATAATTAATTTAGATGTGATTCTCGATGCCAAATATTGTTAGATAGTTATTTGTTGAGATTAGTTAAGATACGCGTAAATTGTTCGAACATTCTCGAGATATAAAAAAAATGATGTTGAACTTATGGTTTGTTTTTAAACTAATATCAAAGGCAAATAAAATCAACATCAAACCAAACAAACAAAAAACGAGATATACTTGATCAAAATAGAACCACTCACCCATCTTTTAACATTTTAAAAAATCGAACCGATAAAAAAATATTGTTCAAACAAATCGAACTAACTCAATTATTCCAGTTTCATGGGTCTCTATCCTTACAAGTGCCCTCTCTCGAACTCTCTAATATCTCTCTTATCTTTCACTACTTATTAGTTTCAAATTTCTTCCCATTTTTCTCTCTAAATAAAACCAACACAACTCTAAATATGTTATGCATTCTAACCCTACACGAGACTGTATTCATATCATTAACAAGAACCCAAAAATAAATATGGTATTTAAACTAAAAAAATATAACAATCCCATCTCAAATTCATGTTGAATGATTATAATTGAGATGATAAATGGGAGAAGTGAAAGAAAAGTGGTGACATTTTTGAAAGCATTAATAAGACGGTCCTACTTTTTGGTATTACACAAGTTTGAATACTTCTTCTGTTTGTCACGATATCATCATATTAAAAATGATGTAGAATCAACGGCCGTTAAAAGATAATTTATGAAGTAAAAATCATAAGCGGAATTTTTGTGGAAAATGAGTGTGGTAGCCATTCGTGTGAAAAGCTTGGGATTGGAGTAATTAAAAATGGTGAGCTCAGCTGCAGTTTTTGATCTAAGTTGAAGAGTGGTCCACATCTGATTCCTGTTCCTAACACAAGTGATGTTTTGATGAGTATATTGAATTGTCTTACTCTTACGCAACCATTTGGAAATATTTCCCCACTCTCTCTTTTACTTCGTTTGGAAATATTTCCCATTTCTTTTTCCCTCTCTTTTCCAACACATTTCCCATTACCTTATCCACTCCTCCACTTTTCTTTTACCCAAAAACTTTCACTCACAATGCAAGCATGGTCACGGATCTACTATAAAAGTGAACAAAATATATACATATATATATATATATATATATATCTTCGAGTTACACCGCTATTGGAATTCTGTGAGCGAGTTTAACTTTGCTAGTGACAACTGACAATGAACACTTCATAGGTTTCTACAACGATATAATATTGTCTACTTTTGAGTTTAGTCATAATCCTGGTTAACTTTACTTTTCATTTTACCTACCAATGAAAATGTTGTCATTCACTTGCTTATATTCTCATGATCTTGTGTTTATCTCGTCAATGTAGAATTTTGGTCGCATTCTCAACAAATCTCAAAACATATTCACAATGTCATAGCATTGTAAAGAATATGAACCTAAGACATGCGAGCATACTCCTACGTCAACAAAAAACAAGGAAACTATATGATATACTAGTAAAAGACAATACTATATGGATACCATACTAATTTTTCTCCAACTCCCACCATCTCCACATACCCTTTTCCCTTAAACGCTCGAAACTGACCTAAAAAATTAGGAACTATATATTAAATACAAGTACTACTACTTTGAAAACCATTAGATGAGAGAGTGAGAGAGACATTGAAAAATATAGCACTGGAAAGTGTGTTGGAGTAAGTGAAGAAATGAAGCAACAAAAAGAGAGGTAGGAGAATGGGGTCCCATAATGGCTGGTCGTGGCAATGGCATGGTTAAGTTCAGAGAAAAACGTGGTGCCTCTTAGCTTTAAATGAAACATTGCGATGCGACCAAAACTCATAGGCTGCAACCAAAGCACTGTTATTCTCACCCCTCTGCTTGTAGGACCTTCTTCTTCCCCTCGTATTTGTTCTCACCCGGTGTTTTTCAATTTATTTCAAATATACTTGTTCCATTGGTTAGTGTTAAAATTGCGACTCTACGCGTAATGAATAGATAGAATTTTAGAAAAAGAATTAGTCTACTCGAGAAAAGAAAAGCTGAAATTTTCACCAATTTTTTGACGAGAAATTGAGCTAATTACTGTTTTAAATGTCTATCTAACTAACTAAATGTCTATTAGATATCCAATATATGAATTAAATTTACCCAATCTATTAGCTTAAGCTTTTGAGTTGAGTGGTGGTAGGGATGTTCACGTGTGTTCACGGGTTGGGTTGAGTCGGGTTAAGGGGTTTTTTGGGACCAACCCGAATTTTCGAATTAACCATATGTAGAACCCAACCCAACCCAAATTGATGGCCAACCCAACCCAACCCAAAAAATTCGGGTTCATATATTTAGCTTATAATTTTAGTTAGTTTTTCTCGTAATGTGAATATATAAGTAAAATTGCTGTTAAAAGCGAGGAAGTCTTTCATTTTAAAATAAGATTTAAATATAGTTATCTTCTAATAATCACCTTTAACCGATTAACAACTATTTATTAAAAAAAAAAAAGAAGAAAAAATCTCTCTTTTTTCTTTCTAATGCATTCCTCTGTTTTCGTTTCCTTATTCTATTATTTTTTGGGAGACAAATACATTTAATTCAAGTCTTTTCTCTATAATACCAATGTCGACTTATTTATATGTATTTTAATTAAAACCATAAAACTGTTTCAAATTTCTATTCGCATTTAACATATTGGGAATCAAAGGTATTGCACACCGACCACTACAACAAAAGTCCAACCCAACTTTAAAAAGATCTATAAATAAGAAATTAACAACCCATGTTTATCTCACCCGATCACATATATCAAAATAACAATTCAATTTGTAGGGAGAAAAAAAAAAAAAAAGAAGCTATTTTGAATTTAAGATGGTTGACAAGAAATGATTGGATATATATAAGCTGTGTATTTTGGTAGTTGCAATAATTAGGAACTGGATGTGAATGGGTTGAGCTATGACATCTCTCACAAACTTTATGTAAAATCAAATCAGCTCTTTTTTTGAAACTTCGTGGTGTAGTGAGACTGTATATGGCTATTCTGGCTACATTTTTATGTCAATTCATTTGCTTTTTTTAGGGAACCCACTTTTAAAATGGATTTGTACCTGAAAACTGGCAGCTTCCTTCGACTCCTATGGGTATATGAGATATTGGTTTTGAATGAGGTGGGTCACTCGTTGCCACTCACCACACACGCCAACTCCCAACTCATTGGCCCGACTCATTAGAGAATTTTTGTTATGTCTCTTATCTTTTCAATTTGAGATTCTTAACATATCATCTCAAGATTAGATGGTATCACTTGATGTTCGTTTGAATTTAAAGTTGAGGCACTTATTAAACCCGACCTTAAAGTTAAACTCATAAAATTAGAAATTTGAGTTTTTTTTTTTCTCAATATTAATGCGTTTGTACGGGGAGAATTATTCTAAAATGAATAAAGGGGTTTGTCAGTGATTTGGAAATCCAAATATTCCAGTGAAAATTGAATGGGTTTGGGGTTATTATTATGAATAATTTGGTCCTTACTTACAAAATTGATATTGATTGAGTTATAATGCAAGGAAAAAAAGGATAGGCAAATCCATCTCGTAGGCCCCACCAATTCCACTGACTGACTACGTATGAGCTGATTTTCTCTTCTCCAATGCTCCATGTGGTTTTGTCTTAAAGTTTCCCAATAAATTAAAAGAGTGAAATACGTATGAAAATATACAACCAAGTAACTTTAATGATGATTTGGGTAACATAACAAGATCAATTTTTAGTACAATGACAAGACTGAAAGTGGGGAATTTCTTATATTTCATTGTAAGGCAGATGATGGGCCAAAAATGGGATTAGGAGATGCCACGTGGGCTTCAAAGATACACGTCAGCTGATCTGAGTTTGTACACGTAGCGGTAGAGGCAGCCAACATGACACAAGGTGTGTCAGCCGGGCAACACGGCGGTGCTGCAAATGAGGGAACTGTGCGGTATCTTACTTTAACTTTGGGAATGATGAGTTAAATCACCAAACAAAACACAAGGGTTTTTGTTTGGTTTGGTAATCAGAACCACCCAATCAAATTTCGACCCATAAAAAACCAAGCTTTTTAAGAAGAAGAAGAAGAAGAAGGGAAACTGAAACTGAAACTGAAACTGGCACACTGGTCATTTGGGTTGGCCCATATGCTTCCACCGAGTCGACTCAGCAGTCGGAATCTGGCTTTTGGCTCATGATCAAGATCAGCCATCTGGATTTGAGATAAAAAGAGGGGTCAAATTAGAAAAGAAAAAGGAGGGAATAATGGGATGGGAGGGGCTAAAATGTCATTCATGTCCAACAAAAGCATAACATATCATGGGACTAAACTGGGAATGAGAGTGGTGAAAGCATAACAATTCCATGTGATTTTGTGATCATGGCGTGGCTGTGACTGTGGAGTGGAGCCCTTATATATTATCATATAATTTTTATTTCATCCATTTCCAGGAACAAAGTTTTACCAAGATCTACCACCAACATTAATTCAAAAAAAGGCAAGAACAAAAAAGATCTGTGACCAGTTTTTCCAAATCAGATACTTAATGGGCCCGTTGGCGGTTGATACGGCCCATGATTGTTATAATTTGTTATTTAATTGGTGTACTCTATAATAAAGTGAATTAAAAATTTATTAAACTTTTGTATTTATACCGCCTCTTGTCCAAGGGGTGCAAATGATGTTTCTGCACATTGGGCTGTCATAGAAGTCCAAAATGGATGGGCCTCCAAGATGAGCTGCGTTGGGCCTGGAGCACTTGGGTCAAAGAAGATGAGGCATCGACAAGTGATTCCCTGAACTCAATTCAGATGGAGTTCACGTTTGCTTTCAAACAAAAAGTTTCCTACGTATACATAACTTTGATTCATGATAAAGATTTGTCTTGTTAAGGATTAAAAAGTCATACAATAAACTTACAACTCCATTAGCATTACAATTGCCAAATGCGTTCAATTCAAAATCTTTGAAAGTTAGAGACCCAATTTTCACCAGGTGATTACGGCCGGTACCTCCTATGAAAGTGCTTTAAAATGTGATGAAAAAGACAGCACAGGGTGCCTCCCATGTTAGGGCTTGCTTGATATGTCCTCTATGATACCCTTCCCATCAACAGCATCGAAGTAGAAGAAATTCTTGAGGGGGTCTCCTTTCCCAGAAATAGCTTTAATTACTTCCTAAGAAATGGAATAACGGATGTAAGTAGCTCGCGTAATTCAAAGTTTCGAGATAGCCGACTAAGAAACGCACCTGCCCAAGAATGCCTCCAATGATGGCACAAACAGGAGGAAATTCCTTTGAATTTGTCACCAATCTCTCTATGAGGGCATTAGGAATATGAGCATCATTCAGCGACTGCAAGGTTTATTACAGATAATGTGAGAATCAATGCAACTCAATAGCAGAACTATGAAAATGCATATTCCTAGTACTCAACCTGCAATTCACAGAGCTCCTTTTTCAACTTCAAAACCCCGGGAAGATCGGATATTGTAGTCTCTCCTGGATTTCGCCCCTCGACCTCTTCAAACCGTTCCATAACTGCATCCAGATTGAGAAAACCACTATTACCATTATTGGGGCATTCATATAGACGAGTTAAAAATGGACCAATGTTACTGTCCTTGAATCTTATCCACAGAAGAGCCTTACAAGAGATTACAGAACGCATGCAAGTTCTATAAGCTCTGTAGACGAACAATTTCTCCTTATAACATGTTTTGAATCCCGCTTCCATTCCCATCTAATTCTAATAAAAAATTTGCTATTTACTTATTCACACAAGTAGGATTTACCACACCTCTTAATGCATAAAATAGCTTTGAGACTTTTCTGGGATGTGCTTTCCAGGGTACCGATATTGCTTCCTGCATCGAAAGGATCACAAATACATATCATCAAGAAAATGAGTACCATGTACACTTCTTGATGAAAAACCAAACTCACACCGGCAATACAAGATAGACACAGCCCACCATAAAAGAATGGCCATGTACATTAATATCACGTAAATGGTACTCACCATCTCATACTCATTCATGTACGTTAATTTATACATTAATATCTTAGTATATGTATATATACAACAACGAGTTCCCTCAAACTTTATGTTTGTCTCCACCTCCACAGTTATTGACATCCAATGCACCAAGGACCAAATAAAAGACTAAATTTCCACAAATGCCTCTGACGGGTTTCTTGCCACAAAATGGACGCATGTTTACACAAGATGCAATGCAAGGTATCAGGACCAAAGAAAGAGGCCGACAATACTTGCAGAAGTTTGATTTTTCCAATTGGTAGATGGGTACAAGGGATTGGAAGTTGAAAACGGTGGTTAGAAAAGAAAGAAAAAAAATAATCCCTCATTTATAAGCATGCATATAGTTGTGCTGGAAGAAAATCAGGATTTAGGAAACTGCATATTACTAAAGATTTTTTTTTATATTTTTTTATTTTAAATCTAAGAGACTTATACTTATCATAATAGAATAATTCATACCTCGAAGCTTGAGTATGATAGTTGGCATTCCACAGTGTCATCAAGTTTTTTCTGTCCACAAATGAAAGAACAACGTGATGTGAGCATTATTCATGTATTCATGCCAGAAAGAAGAAATTTCAACCTCACTAAACAAGCAAATCAAAACGGAAAATATGAAAATTTCTGATATGAGGCACGAGGGACCCGTGGAAATAATTTAACACACTATGCTAACAACAAAGGCTTCCAACTGACATTGGTATGGAAAACAAACTGTAGTACGATCATAAAAAATGTAGAAGAAAGAAAACTGCATATCTAAAGATCTAAAACAGAGAACAAGTAGAATAATATTTGATTTATAACCTTAGCATATTTATACTCTTGTAGATCAACAAATATTTCACCACAGGAATCTCTACAATCAACTGTATAAAACGCTATGCGCTTAGTTAACTTCCGGCATTTCTCATTGACTGATTTCTACAATAGGTATGAAAAGAAACACATGTCAAAAATAAAGTCTCGAAGAGAATTTATCAAAAACGCAAAGAAGAAGGAGAGCCTTCGCTACTACTTTTTCAGCCAGGGAGCAACAACTGACAACAATAACATCAAACGTCTTCAAAAAATCTTCATCAAAGCTCGACAAATCACCTGAGAAAAGAGAAATTTAGATTTAACTTTTTCAGCGGGTCACTTACATAATGATATAGAAGTTCACAAATTAATTAGTAGAGCTCTAGAGTGGACGTAAATTATATAACCAAACCATTGAACATAAAAATAAAAACAAAACAGAGCTCAACAACGTATAATGTCCATGACTACATTATTTACAAGTACAAGTAAGAAGTGAAGGAAAGAGGAAATCTTGTAATACCTTTTTCGACTGAAACTCGTACCATCGGATTGAAATCTTTCAAAGAATCACAGCAAAGCTCAGCAACAGTTTTCCCGCCAAAAACACCCTCATCAGGAGGTATAAGAAAATTAGCAGAAAGCGCTTCTTCAGTCAACAACCGATTATCCACCAATGTCAAACTACCGACCCCAGCAAGAACAATATTCTTGCAGAACTAACATCCCAGACAGAGAAAGAGAGAGAGCAACAAGCGCGTCATATCAAATGCAAAGAATCCTATTTGAATATATAAAAAATGGAAGGCCAAGACTCGGCTCAATCAACAGTTAATGTTACCTCAGCAACAGTCCCTTTCATTCCACATACTAGAACGTGAGCTTTGCTCAGCCTGCGAGTAAAACTTGCAACTGAGAACAAATGAAATTGAAACTCGCGATAAGATAATTACGACTCTACGAAAATACCTCCTCTGTGCATCAGCACCCCAAACCCTAATCTGGCGGTCATACAATTGAGTCTCCTGCTCCGTCAACTCCTCTCCATCCATTTTTTCAACTTCAAACTGCACCGAATAAAAAATAGAGCGCTGTAATTTCAGTTAGGAGTGAGGATTCTGAACGTGTCCATGAAACTCTGCTGCGTGCCCGCGTTTATTTACAAAATGAAATAACAATAACCTTCACCGCGAGTGTACTGGTCTGTGATAGCGAAGAGTAACTTCGATCGTTAGCGAATTCCAAAGCTATGCAGAGGCAAAGACGGCGACTTCCCTCGCTCTTCCGCTGCGAAGACGACGATCAAGCGAGATGTCCGGCGGCGGAAAAGACCGACTTCTGGTTTTCAAATTTCAAAAGAAAAAATAAAAAAGGGGAAAAATAAAAAAAATAAAAATAGAGGGAAAAGAATTTGTTTTATCTATTCTATTTTTTTTTTCGGTACAGAAATTGTTTTATATATTCGATACCCACTTCTGATACTTATTTTTTAAATATACACTTCTTCTTTTTTTTTTTTTCTAATTCTGACTGGCCAATTCGTATGAACTTTTCATTGTATGTCTAATAATAATAATGGAACCTCCGTAGAATATTGGATGATATTGTTTGTACCTTTTTTTTTTAATAATTTTTTAGTACGAAAATTGAAGGATATTAAATGTCCAATATTTCAAAAAATATATATATATATATGTTATAATTTTGATTTATAACAAACACCACCGGGTATTTATGTGAAAGACCCCCAAAAACAATTTGAAACAAAGACCCCCGAGAATCTGGAAAATTACAAATACCAAACCAGGAGATATGACGCTGGTAGGCATCACAACTTTATGGGCCAAAGTCGTATCTTGGGCTTTTAGACGCGGGCCAATAGGATATTATTCTCTTTCTTTGTTTTTAAACAAATAGGATATTATTTTCTAATTAGTAATTTATAAAATCAATTACGTATGACATTTTAAAAAAATTAATGGCAAGTATGGCCTTTTTCTTTTCAGAATCTATTAATTATTAACTTCTAATTCTGAATTTGATGATAATAATTAGTTTGTTTCAATGTTTTTTTCTTTAACAATTGTGATTCATTGATAATTGGTATGAATATCAATTGAGAGATTATTATAGTAACAATTAATTGACAAACATCACGTACTCAAAAAATATATATATAATAATTTCATTCAAACATTTTTACTTTTACTTTTCATAACTAATTTTAAAATTCCAGAAAGTAACAAAAAAAAACTACTTATTCCACTTGTTGAAATTCTGGTTGAAACTATTATTTTAAAACATATTCAGAAGTTCATTTTCCTTCTTTTCTTTTTTTTTCTTATTATTTATGAATAAATTTGACGTTATTTTTAATATTTTAAATGTCGATGAAAATATTAAGGTCTAAATTTCATGAAAATATCTATAGAAATATTAATAGATATCAATATCGATAGATAATTATGAAAATATTATAAAAATAAAAAATAAAATTAGTAAAAATTATTTAGATGAAGAAATTAGCATTCCACCTTTTCTAAATAGGTTAAAATAATTAAGATGGATATTATGTACATACTACTTAGTGATATTTTGTTAATTTTTCGATAATACTATGGAAATATTGATTTACCTCTCATATTGATGTCAAATGCATTATATATATATTAGAAATGTTGATAAAAATGTCAAAGACTTTGGTTACTTCTTCAATTTTTAAAATAAAAAAAAATTTCTTAATGATGTAAAAAATCAACGAATATAAAACATGATTCCGAGGGATTTTATCACTATATAGGCTTCATTTAAATGTGTGTGTGACAAATAAAAGAAACAAAAAACAATAATAATAATAATAATAATAATAATAATTGTCTGTTGCGTGACCACAGATTCTCGAGGGATTTTGTCACCATTGACATTTCATTTTCATAGCTATCTGTCGTTTAAACGACAAGTCTTTAAAGTTGTTAATCAGACTTCATTTTTAATGATAAATAAAACTGAACATTATGTCAATATTATTAAAAGGTGAATGGAACTCCGTTTTGTGTGCAATGCGAGAGCGACTAGACTGGGATTTTCTTTTAGGTTTTTTTTTTTTTTACTCCATTAGATTTGTAATTTGTAATTTTTTTTTTCACTGCATTTACCCACTATATCTTCGATAGAAAGTAAAGTAAAATTCTTTCCAACCTACTAATTTTAATAAATGTCAAGTTCTAAAACTAATGAAAAACCTCTTTAACACTAACCACTTTCAACAGAAGTCAAGTCTTAGAGTATCATTTTTTCCATTTAAAATTTGAATTTTAAATATTGAAGAAGAGACTTGATTGTAGTTTTTGATGATTCTTCTAATAGAAGTGTTTGATTAAGAAATTGACCAACTCTACGAATCAGAAAACACTCCAATGTCAAAGTCAGTATCTGGCCGAGCTAAATTCGATAGAGAATTTAGTGTTCGCGTACCTCAAAATGCAATAACTGGGTTCCATTTATAGGCGGAATCTCCGACAATATCCTCGACAAGGCCTCAACGACTCTTTAAGGTAACTATGAATCACAGCGTGTTGTCGTAGAGGCTGTCGGAGACTGGCGCTGAACCAAAGTGTAACTGATCTGTTCAACCGTTGAATGGGAACAAGATCTCAAGGAAGCTTGGTCGTCTCGACCGTTTACAATAGGACCAAGCTAAGGGAATGAGCCTTATCGATTAAGGCCACGTGTACCTTTTGTTCTCCACTCAAGATGTGTCATGTGTGATGTTGAAATCACGTTCAACAAGAGATATATAATACAAATAATAATTGTAAAGTTAAATTTAATGAAATGTAAAGCCAAAAAAGAAGCAGTAGTAGTAAAATTAAGAAGATTTTATTTATTATCTTAGTTTGTTTGTTTTGTCTTTTAAGAAACATAAAGAGGGTTGAAACCAAAAAGTGTAAAAGGAATGTGGAGAGAGAGAGAGATTCCTTAAACTAAATTATATAAATATAGTCTGAAACCAAATGTTATCGTAACAAAAAGTGTCAAAGGAAGGTAAAGTTTGGCAGATTTGTAGAGAGGAAATACAAAAGTCAGCGTACTGCTGAGATTGTGAGATTTGGCTTAACATATGGAAATAGGAGTTCTTGTTTAATTTTTTTTAACCCTCTTTATTCTTAAATTCATATTCTATTTAGGTTCAAATACTAATTTAATTATTATACTTTTTATTTTTTTATCTAATTTTTATTTATATCAGTCGCCCTTTCAAAATCTACATTTAGTCTCATACTAATAAGAAATAAAATAAAATTGATCGTATTTGTCCATTTATTATACTTTTTTATCTCATTTTTTACCTTTAAAATTTCAACGTGACACTACACTTGGTATATTTATTAAAATGTAGTCATAATCTTATATTTTAAGTCACGAGTTTCCAATCTATATAGAAATCGTGTTAAAATTTTACAAACAACGAGTAAAATGGTTATTGATTATATTGACCAAAATATATTTTTTGAAAAACAACACTTAAATGCTTATTAGTGAGTATCTATCTTTATCTTGACCGTAAAATAGAAAATCGATAGTCAGCTTAATTTTTTTAAAATAGAAAAGTATCTCTTTTTCAATATTTGTCCTCCATCTTTATCGATGATAACCCGTAAGAATGTAGATATTTTTTCTATTTTGAAAATATAAATAAATGAAAGTACAACCATGAAAATAATATATTTATTACCCATATAAGTCGTACAGTAGATTGGGAATTTACAAGGAATAGAAGAAAGAAAGAAAAAGTGAAATTGTGAATAGTAAAAAACGAACAAAAACGGTAAAAATGTAAAAGAAAAATGTTGTCGCTATAAATGAGTCAATGGATGAGGAGAACTGTTGTGTGTCAGTCGCCCACATGACAATTTAACAATTCAGAATTCAGAAGCAAAATATTTAAATTAAAAAAACTAAAAAAAAAAAAAGCTGCCGACAAGTGTGTGTGTCGAGGTGGTACGGTGTTAAGGAATTGGTGACAGGTGCAGAAACCAACTACGTGGCCACTGCACCAGCACCAGCATACGCCATTTCCCGCACGCTCTCCACGCACGTGTGGACCTCCCTCCTATTCCAACTCGGCTCCGACTCGGTCCTACTTTTTTCCAACAATTATTGGCAATCAATCAACCCACTGCGCCCCTCCCCCATCCCCCATTATCATTACTTCTTCCTCTTCTTTACTTTCTTCCAACCCCCACTTTTCTTTCCCTTCTAATTCTTTCTTTTTTAATTATCCCTGCCACTGCCACCTTTCCTCTTGTAACAAAACAAAGCTGCAACAATATGGAGTCCTTTTACCCAATAAGTTTCTCCTTTCTTTGGCCTAAATTATCAACCTCTATAAAAGTTTCACCTTTGTTTCTATAATTTAATCAAACAGGGTCAATCATCATGGGTGGTTCACTGGTAAATAAAATAATAAGATTAATTGAGAAGAAATGGATTCAAATCTCGACACATGTCTATCTTTAAGAGGTGTAGGGCCACAAACGATTACAAATTGTACGCTGCGATAGCAAGAAATGCGCGTTAGCATGTCGAGTGCTGTAGCCTGCTAGTGGCAGGCCACACCACCCGCCAATTATCGGGACATACACCTTCGATATCATACCTCGAGGTGCGTCCCTATTATCCCAATCGTCGTCATTCCTAGTCGACCATCTGAATCTATATAAGAAAGGACCTTCACCCTTACCAGGACAAGTGAACCTGTCATTAATACTTCAGGTTTCTTTTTCTATTTTCTACTCCGATTACTGACTTGAGCGTCAGAGGTTATTAGACGAGACTTTTCGAAGGACATGTGAATCTCTCTAAAATTCACCATCAACACTCATAAGCTGTCATTTAAGATTGGAACTTTCTTAACCACTCAAAACAAATTTAATCCCAAGTTAATAAGGAGTGGTCAAAAGTAATTTAATACAATGCCAATATATCTTTTTGTACTTTGGGACTTTGGGAGCTAAGCTAAGCTAATCTAGTCTACAATTTTTGCACTTTTCAAATTTGCAGAAGTGTGTATATATATTTATTTTTGTTCTCGAAATTTGGATATAAATAATAGAGAAGCAATAAAGTGAGAGGGAGACACGTGCCCTCCCGGGCCTCCCTCCGATTCGTCGACAGGGATAAGTAGATTATGAAAATAACATGTTGTGATGTGAAATACCAAATGTAGGCTCCTGGAATGGGAATAATTGCAGAATCTGCCATGGGCAGTGGCACGAGGGAAGCAAGTTGTGTGCATTTTCGGGGATTTTGAGGCTAAAATCGAAACCCCACTCGATCTCTCCTCGGACCACAAAATAAGATTTTGTGGGTCGACATAATAATCTATGGGGAGACCCCTTTTTCATTATTACTAATTGAAATTTCGCAATACATCCAATCACCCATTTCTATTGTTGAACAAGAGGAATTAAAACATTAACAACATGGTTCACTTGATTAAAATATCTGATCAAAAGATTTGAATTCGAATCTCCATCTTAATATATTCGAAAATAATAATAATAAATTTAAAGTTAACATTTTTCTTTAAAATCAATATTTATATATATGAAAACCCAATTGATATTTTTCTTTCTCATTCACACACACACACACATATATATATATATATTTTGTTTTCTTTGTCAAATTTTAAACATGTTTACTTGCTTGCTATCCATGCCTCATGGTGTCCCTATCTTGACGATGTTTTGTGGGTCGTTGGGATTGTGTGTTTGACAATAAAATCTCCAAAATTTTTAGAGAAAAATGGACAACTTTGAAAGTTCTTGTTCTATGGTCAGAAGTTAAAAGGACCACAAAACTAGTTGCAATCTTACAATAGTAACACATTGCATCATCGAAGGGTAGATTCAACTTCTTTTTTAATATTGTAGAAATGTCTTGAGGTCAGTATTTGTCTATAGAAAAAATAAATAAATGCTTACAGAAAAAAAAAAAACAGAAAAGTTGAACATAAATACTAACAATGATGTGCTATGGTTTATTTCAGAAGTCCTGAACTTTTTTTTGTTTGTTGAAATCGTTGAATGAATTCAATATTTTTTGTGATTGACTTCTATAGTATTACTTCTATTTATATTTTTATTTCAAAACAAGTTTGAGATGTTACAGGTAAAATCCACTTATTGTACAAAAGTCACGTGGAAGACCAATTAAGAATATCGAGAAGTAAATCATGTTTAGAGATTAGACGAGAGCAAACCTATTTTGGTGAGAGAGCTCATCTTTGAGTATACAACTTAGAAAATCTACCTCGATAATGACTAATTCACACATCCTAGATACGTTATTTTTCGACTAAAAAGTTATGTGTCAAACGACGACAAATGCAACAGGACAAAGATTGTTTCGCTCCTTAGTAAAATAGAATGCTCCCATTCAATATCAAGGTACGTTAACATCTCTATTTTCTAACTTTCCTTTTGACACGAACTTTAATTTTAGCATTAATGTGTTATTCTTTCCATGTATTTTTAGGTCGTCTTCTCCTTTTCCTTTACTTTTAGATCGCCTCAATACGTGGAGGTTTATCCTATCCATGTTCACGCATGAAGAAGTCGTCTAGTCAACAAAAAATCAACTACACGAGATTTCGATCTCGATCGATATTCACTTCCATGGGTTAGGTGTGCTCTCCTTTTGCAGCCAGGGACTATTCAAAGGGCTCGCTTGCCATAGAATGTGAAACAAAATGGGGTGCCAACTGCCAATTACTTTGTCGCAGATTAACCAAGCACTCATCCCCTTTGTACTTGTTATTTTCATACACAGCCCACAGCCTCCCCTTGTGAAAAAAGTTGAAAGCAACAGCCGCCCATCCTCATTTATCATCATCATCTTAGCTTTCTCAAGCTCCATTTATCTCTCTCTCTTGAATGCTTTAAACCAGACCAAGAATGACACCTTACTGATAGGTATATTTTAGCCTAGCTAGCATGTGATTCTGTGTGTGAGTGTAAAGTCTTAACCAACAAGTTCCTTCTCTTTAATTTTTAATGCTCTCTAGGCCTTTTCTTTTGCTCCCTTGACAATCTACTTTATTGGATTTAATGGAATCTATGTCAGTGAATGAACTGGAAAGAACAAACCAATCCACTTCTGCTGCACTAGTTTGGGAACAACCTCTGCCTCCTCTTACCATTCACTCTCTCCCTTTCCTTTTCATTTAGTTTCATTTTCTCTCCCCCATTTTCCTTCCCCTTTTCTTATATTTTCTTTTTTTATTTCCTTAAACTTCCAATCTTCTTGGAACACAAAACCAGCCCCCCCATTCACAGTCCCAGAAAAGTAAGCGTTTCCTGAGTTGCCCAAAATCTGCATTTTCTTCACCTGTAGCAAAATGTATTAACGGGCTTGGTGTATGGATCCTGTAGATTTGAGGGTTAATGATTTTGAGTAAAGTTTTTTACTTTTTGCAGGACGGAGCTTGAGAAAATGGCATCATCAACTTCGGGGTCGTCAAAGAGAGCCAGAGGAGCTAACAATGGCGGGGCTCAGCCAGTTTTTTGCCTCGTCGATGGCTGCAATTCAGATCTAAGCAGCTGTAGAGATTACCACAGGCGCCATAAGGTCTGCGAGCTCCATTCGAAGACCCCTCAGGTCACAATTGGGGGTCTTAAACAGAGGTTCTGCCAGCAGTGTAGCAGGTAACTTCAGGGTTTAATTTGGTTTTTTTTTTTGCTTTTTGTCAAGTTTTGGCCATGCTTCTCCTCTCTGCCAACAACTTTTGGGCACCAACCCATTATTTTATTCTTCAAGAAAAAGCTCCGAGGAACATTTTTTATGCTTTGTGTAAACCAATCAGTCAAAGAAAATGGGCGATTTTGATTTCTTTTTTCCTTAAACCAATCAATTGTCTGTTGCCAAGAAATGAACTGTTGGTGGTTTTATCTGAACAAATTGTCCTCTCTCTCTCTCTAAAAGTTTTCCAGAATGCTTAAGGAGGTTGGAATTAGATGCGCTTTTGAGTCTTTTCATGAGAAAGTTCTGTGTTCTACAGAGCATAAAAGTTGAGAGAACTTAACAATGGAAGTTCCAAACTTGCAGAAAATTTTCCCTAATTTAGACTCCATAGACTAGATTTTGCTATCATAAAGCTGTAGGAATAATTGAGTTCGCATTTTCTCTGCTCTGCCATGCTTTTCTTTTTTCTTTTTCCCATAGGTTTCATTCACTTGAGGAATTCGACGAAGGAAAGAGAAGTTGCCGCAAACGACTCGATGGGCACAACCGGCGCCGGAGAAAGCCTCAGACTGATCTCTTGCCTCGATCTGGCGGCCCTTTCTCCTACCATCAAGGTTAGATTTTGCCCTTCTTTAAATTTTGCATTTTAAACATTTCATACAAATTTGGAAGAAAACTTATTGAAGTAGTTGCTCGCCCCTGTTTTTGGTTTCTAGTGAAAATTCTAAATTTGCTGGATCTGTTTTTTCATCTTCTTCCAGGTTCTCACATGCTGCCATTTTCGAGCTCGCAAGTATTCCCATCGACCACCGTGGGCAGCCACGGATGGTCGTCGGCCGTCGGAGCAGATCCCGCCGCCCTTCACAGCCGGAACCAACAACTAAATTTCCTCGAAAAACAGAGCCTTTTTGTGGAACATTCCGACCACGGCAGCAGCAACTACAAGGCGG